AAATTTAATTTCACCCTCATATTAAACCTCCTTTCTATGGGGGATACACAAAAGCTTGATTTATATGCCCCGAAAGAGATAGAGATTTAAATTTACCTTCAATATTCAATTCAAAATTTAATCATTAACTAACATAAAAATTAATTTAAAGATTCGGTTATTGGCTATAGACTTTGGATCCCCTCAACTTTTTTCATTGGCAAATGTTTCTGTTATACCTGTTTCTGTTTCTGGTATAAAATTTAAAAGAATATTCAAAAAAGTATTCAATTATTTTTGTAGCCCCACAAAATGTCCGTGTAAATATAGCAAATACCCATTACCAAATATTTCAATGGGATTTACCTACATTTGGAATTCCTGAACGTTTTCGTTTAATTTTGAAAAGGAAACCTTCAAATAAAAATGAGGGAGAGAATAAATTAATTTTGCATCAACAAATGATTGAACCAACAGAAACGATTACAATGACTAAAGTTTTTGTTTAGAAATTAGTTTTATAAAAATAATTTTTAAAGGTTCGTTTATTGCCTGGAGAACAAGTAGAACTTTGTATTTGGGCTGTAGATGCGGAAGGAGAAACTCCTTCGGAAATTATTAATTTTCAAACAGTTGAGAATGGTAAGGAAAGTTCCCGAGACTTAAAAATTAAAAAAACGTTTTTAGCTCCTCAATGTGATGGTCAGTGTTCATCACCTAATGTTGGCCTTCCAATGTGTTACTTTTCTAGTGCACATTATTTAAGACAAGTTAGAAATTAATTTAAGAATTATTTAAATTTTTAAAATTTTTTAGTTTCGAGATTCAAATGGGAATTTAAATTGTCTTTGTTTTGCCGGCTTTTCAGGGCCTCAGTGTGATAAACTTGGTAGTCATTCTTAAAACTTTATTATTTAATTATTTTAATTTCGGAGCATTGCCCAGCCCAAAGAGTTCTTGAGCAATATGGAGGTGTTGATTGGCCTGAAACGTTAGAACTCTTTAAAAAATTATTTTTTTGAAATCTTCCTTCTTTCAGTACTGTAAACAATTCTGCTTTTGTTCCGTGCCCATATAATGAAGATGGTCGTCGTTTAGAAAGAAGTTGTGGATGGGATTCACAAACAGAAATGCCAATTTGGGCAACAGCTTCACAACAAACCTCAAAACAAACAGAACAACGCGAAACTGGTGGAGGTAGTTGTAGAACGCAGGTGAGCTTGGAAGATAATTCAGCTCCCTGTAGGATCAAAGATTCATTGGGAATTTACTTTCCTTTGGATTGCCAATAATTAAAAATTATTCTATTTATCCATAATTTCTTTCAGAGTTCAGTACTTGTCCATCTTGGTGTTTTAGCTAATTATGGCCAAAGAAATGAACAGACCCTTTCTGGACTTCAATCAGTAATGCGTTTTCTCTCTACATTACTCCAATTCCCAGCATTTCAAATAAATATTCATTCTGCTCATTTTGATGCAAAAATAGCAGAACATGTTTCTCAAGTTTTGGATGTTTTGGCAACAAAAAATTTTTCCACATTGGGAGGAATTGGAAATAATAATGATAATTCCTCTCGGCTACTTAGGCGGCAAATTGCTGATTATACAAAGGAATTTGCGAGAAGATTGCCGGTAAATATTTAGATATTTGTTGTTAGAAAGCGGGAGGACGGCCGCTTTATTTTTCAATCCCTTCTCAAAGACCGGTAGGTAATTGGGGATATATGGAGACTTCGCCGGAAATAAGCGAATCTTGTTGTTCCTTCGGGGTGGAAATACAATCAGAATATTTATAATCAGAAAATCCTTTAAAGTTTCATATTCCTTTAATCTTTCAGAATCCATTTTTACTTCAAAGTCCAAGCGGAGGACTTCAAATGCGTGTTTGGGATATACTTCCTTCATCCTCAACATCATCACAGCTCTCCACTGATAAAGATTTATTTGATGACCCGAATATATTTTTAGAAGATAAAAAAGAAGAAAATTCTTTAAAAGAAGACGAAGACGATGATGGAGGTGTACAAATTGGCTCTTGTTTTGTTCAACCTCCAAAGGGAAGAAGAAATAATTATGCGAGAATAGCTCGTGCTGTTTGTTTTAAAAATGCAACTATAGCATTATTCCCCACACTGGACGAATTTGAAATTATTAGTGGAAATCCGGTTTTGATGTTGGAAGTTAGGAAAAGCAGGAATGGACAAAAGAAGAAAAGAAATGAAGGTAAAAACTAATAATGATACTTGGCTTTATCTAATAAAATGCATGTAACTCCTTTACCTTGTGCCACAGTACGCGAGGGGAACGTAAGAGGTCTTATCGCCAACCCGGTTTTTTGCGTCACCTTAAGGCTGTTAAATTTATAGTAATTAATTAATAATCATCGAGCCAATTTAAGAATATCAGATTGTTTAAGTTACCCCAAAATTAAATTACTAATTGGCGGACTTATCTTTGTAAAAAGTTTTATACTTATTTTTAACACTATATTCTCAATTCTATAGATGGAATAATATCAAATTCGAACACATTTCCATCGGAATTAACAGAAGAGATATCAGAAGAAAATCGAGATCGTGAACCTTTACTAGTTGGATTTAGATTACCTTCAATTAGTATGTCTATTGAAGACGAGGATAATCATACTTGCGCTCATTATGATTATAATGGTTTGGAAAATTTCCAAAAAATTTCAAATAAAAATTCTAGCCCAAATTTGGTCAATTTCTGGTGTTGTTGTTCTTTCACGCGAAAGCCGTCCAACTGGCCAAATTTTACTTTGTGAAGTTCATGGTTTAAAATCTTCTGGAGTGTTTGCTGCTTTACCTGATAGATTATTTGCTCAAACTGACTTAGGGCTGGCAAAAGCTTTTCTTTCATTTTTTGAAAATTTTGGGCCTACAATAAGTGCTGCTTTTACAATTGTTCTTTCTTTGGTTCTTCTCTTCTCTTTTAGCATCTTTAGGAGGTAAAAATATTTTTCAGATTGTTTTGGAAATATATCTGAGAGAACAACCTTATTTTTGATAAACTAGTCTAAATTCAGATACCAAATAAAATAGCTGTTAGTTTATGATGGGCGACTAATTAAATGTTCAAATTCCGAGTCCAGACAAGGTGTAATATTAGCGATCGGATTGGAGAGAACTCACGTTTAAAACTCTTGGATTTTAGAGATAATGATTTCAAATTACGGTCAATTTTCAAGCCGGTCTCTAATTTATGCCATTGTGTTATTTGGGAGACGATGAGGAGGAGACTTCGAGTTTCCAGCTTTTGAGGCATTATCAATAATGACTGGCTTGTTTTTTACATAATTAAATTATTAGTGATTTTCATACTTATAAAAATTGCCTATTAAATTCATTACATTTTAAGATCAAATCGCCCTAAACAACAAACAGACCCAGCCCATTTAACTTTAATTTTATCATTTATTTTACTCCATTTTTTCCATTTTCTCTTGCTAATTCGTCCACAATTATCTTCAAATTCTTCATTTTTGTGGTGGAGATGGTGGCCAGATTCTAATATTTTATTTTTAATTTTTCAATTATCTCTACTTTCTTTTACTTCTTCAATAGCACTTTTAACTACATCAATTTATTCAAGAATTGTAAGGCTAGAAGTGAGAACAGCATTAAAAGGGAAATCGAGAAGAGCTAGATCTTTGGCTACTTTACTATTTTGTTTAGGTAAAAATAAAATTTTTTTCTGTATGGGGACTTGGAAGGGAAAGTTATCACGCTATCCAGATTATCTATAACCACAAAAACTTCACCTTAATTATCAAAAGCATAAATAATTCTCTTAATTTTTTTCAGTTCTGCCATTATCACTAAGTGTGTTAACTTTAATTCTTGATGGCCAAATACTTGAAGGACTTGACTCTGATGATCCGTAATATTTTTTAATTTTTTATATTAATTATTATCCTTTCAAGACATTTACAACCATTTAATTGGATTTTTGGATTATTTCTTTTATTACCTTTAATTATTTTTTTGGGTATTGCTATGGGGTTTGGAGCTTATTCTTTTTGGTATGCCAATCGTCTTTTGGCTGCTTCTTTTTCTTCTACAACTGTTCCAACAACTTCTGCTTCCAATTGGCCAACTGATTCCTTAGAATCTCCGAGGTCACTAAATCCCTACAATTTCTTTCAATTATTTTAATTATTTTAAGCACAACTTCAATATCCACAACACCTTTACTTCTTCAACGTCGCCTACTTCATCGTCTAGGAAAAGCTTCGGGCCTTTCTTGGCTTCTTCTACTATTCCCCATTTCCAATTTATTAGTTCTTCTCCAGCCAACAGAAACTTTAAAAAGTCTTGTTCTTTTTATTCTTCACTTGTTAACTTTTATTTGCCTTTATTTATTCCATTTTCTTCTTGTCAAAATTCAATCTAAAATGCCACAACAAAATACCCAATTAAATGGGGGAGGGCAATTAATTGGTAATTCTAGTAATGGAAATGGAATTTATAAAAATAATAATGGAAATGGAAATATTAATCAACAACAACAATTATATGTTCATCAAAATGGAGTTGAAAATAATGGAATTAATCATAATGAAAGAATGGTATTTTTTAAAATCTGATCATTAATTGGCTATCTTTATATTATCCGTTACCTTTTATCCGTAAATCTATTTTCTAACTCTCAAAATATTTCATCAAAAAATTTACAATTTTTAATTATCTCCAAAATAAAAATAATCATTTTAAGATGTTAACAATTCAAGAACATGGCCAACTTCAACCTATCGCCCCAGGCGAAACTCTTTTATATGATAGAAATAATATTAACAATTTCAATACGACAGATAATTTATCTGTAAAAGAACGGTAAAAATTAATAAAAAAAACTTTGAAATCTAGATGAAAAACTAAAAAAGAAATTTAAAAGACTACCTATTTTCGAGAGAAGCCAGAAAACATTAATAATTTTTAATTTAATCTTTCGAAGAATTATCTGTCCAATAATTATCCCATTTAATAAATACTTTCAAAATTTCAGTTATTTTATGCAACATTTATTTTCTCGAAGACACACTAACAACCAATTCAATACTTCAAATAACCAATTAACACCAACACCTGTCCAACAACGTTTTTCTGGAACAATATCAACTTCTATAGGAGCACAGGATTCTTCTGTAATGGACTCTTTAGGTTCTTTAGAAGATGAAAAGGAAGGAATTTTAATTTCAGAAGAATGGGGAAGGTCTTCCAGACTTCAAAAAAATTTATTAATAAATCAAAATTTAAAATTAACTTCGAATATATTTGCAAAAAGTGAAGAAGATGAAGATGAGGAAATTGATGGGGAAGAGGATTTAAATGCTTTTCTTGAAGATAATAATGAAAGAAATATTTTAAAAACAAATTCAAAAAATTTAAATGAAGGAGCTAAACAAGAACAAAATAATAATAATCAATTATCACATCCTTTAGTTAGTGTTGTGTGAATAATAGAAATCGGAATTGGAATTTTTTGACATTTTTATTTGGATTTTTAGATTTTTGACTGGGAATGTTGGAAAGTTTTTAAAATTCCAAGGCTTTATTTCGATCTCTAAAATGAAAAAATGCAAAAGCTCGTTAATAGCGAAAAATTTGACTAAATTATTACAGGTTCTCATTTAATGGTTCTTATCAATTGGGAAAGTTTTTTTAGTTTATTTTGATTAACTGAGCTACTAATGAGATTTATTTAAAGTATTTAATTTTTTAAATTTTAAATTGTGGATCTTTTCTTTTTTTGTTCCCAAATATATTCTAAGAGCTTTTCTTATATAAACCGGAATTTTGAATTGACTGAAAAATATGTTTTTTAATTAAAGAATTTAAATTACAATTTCTTAAATCAACTCAAAATTCTAGTTTACCATAAATACATTTTATTTATTTAAATATAAATTAAATTATAAAATTTCTGCCTTATTGCCAGTCACTGCCCATTTTTTCTTAAATTTTTTGCCAATTCATTTAAATTTTTTTATTACATAAAACAAAAAATAAATAATTAAAAATTAATTCTTTAATTTAATTTTTAGTTTATTTATTTAACAAGATTTTTCCAAAAAAATACACCCGACAAGTGATGATAATTTTGAATTTGAAAAGTCATTTTATATAATACAGGGTGGGGCAAAAGTTCGGTGACAAATTTTATTTTGTCCTTTCTTAAGATTTACTTTATATTTTGCTTTTTGTTTAGATTTCCCATATGCTATGATTCGAGCTCTACAAATTTTATCTTGAAAATTTCAGTCAGGGTCGGTCATTTTGAGAAATTACTTTAATAAAATGATTATTATATCCTATTGATTATATTTTATCATTTTTTAATCTTAAATAAAAATTTTTTACAATAGATTTTATTAAAAACATTTGTCGCCGGACTTTTGCCCCACCCTGTAGTTGTGGTCATTTTAAGGACAAATTTAATCAAGTTTTGATAATAAATATCTCTTTGGAATAAATTAAAGTGTGGTCACTAGTAATATTCAAAAAGTAGTGTATAAATTGTAAAATAGTAGATAAAATTATTGATTTTTAAAAATAAATTAATAAAAAAAAATTTTTATGAGTTGGAAACTTTTTTTATTTAAACAGCTTAACATAAAGAATAAACGTTAATAAATCCTTTTTTTAATTTAATTTTTGGTAAAATAGAATTATTTTTGGGATGATATTTAAAAAATTAAATATCTATATTGTTTACTCAATTTAAACGTGTAAATAATTTTTTAAATAAATTTTAGGCAATATAAATATTAATTTATTTGGGAAATAAATTATCATTAATATAATTAAAATTAAATTAAAAAATAATTAAATTAAAAATTAAATTAAAATGCTTAAAATAAATAATTTAATATTATTTTCTTTTATTTTTATTTTATTTATTTTTTCTATAGAATTAATTGATTCGCATTGTGGTGTTTGTGTTGCTAATAAATTTTGTTGTGGAACTACGTAATTATTTTTTATTTTTATTTTTAAATTAAAATAAATTTAAGATGCTGTTCAAAAAATAATTGGGATGAATGCTGTGGAACTCAGTAATTTTTTTAATTATAATGTTTTTTTAACTTTTAAGATGCTGTAAAAAAAATGCTTGCTGTGGCAATAAGTAAGTATTTTAAAAATAAAATTAAATTGATACTTGGGCTTTTTTTATTCTATAAAAAAATTTTTTTTATTTAGTTGTTGTGATATAAATACGGAATATTGTAAAAATGGAAAATGTATTGTAAGTATTAGTTTAATAATAAAATTAATTAAATTCTATTATTTTTGTTAATTTATATGTAGTAGCGTTCAAATTCTGACATTTCCAGGATTTTTCGGATCAGATAATTCGAATCAATATAATTTGATAAAATCCAGAGTTTCCGGGGACTTTAAAATTTTCTTAAATTTCTTTGGAAAAATACTTTTTGAAATTCGGAACTCGGATCTCTGTCATCTTAAAAATTTGAACTCTACCTAATATATTTAAATAAATTGTTTTTTTATTTAAGCATATTGGACTATAAATCGATGGGAATATTTTAATAAAAATAATTTAAAAAATTAAATAAATATTTATATATTTCTATTTAATACTTCAACTCGATAAAAATTTTAATTTCTTATTTTTTTTTATTTTAAATTTTTTATTAAATTATTCTTAAAATCTATATACAAAAAATAAAAAATTACTTAAAGACATTTACAGCAATTTAATTGGATTTTTTGGATTATTTCTTTTATTATTTTTAATTATTTCTTTGGGTATTGCTATGGGGTTTGGAGCTTATTCTTTTTGGTATGCCAATCGTCTTTTGGCTGCTTCTTTTTCATCAACAACTGTTCCAACAACTTCTGCTTCCAATTGGCCAACTGATTCTTTAGAATCTCCTAGGTATTTTTAAATATCTTTTTTAAAAACTTCAATATAAATTATAATAACTTCAAATAAATTGAAGTTATTATGTAATCTCAGTTTCAATTAACTCTACTTAAACCCCTTTATTAGAAGCTGTCCTTATAGATCTATTTACAGTTTGCACATAATTAAACTCAGTTACCTTTCATTCTACATTTACTCACCGCAAAACAGTCCTCTATTAACTCAAAATTTTAGTTTACAATAAATACATTTTATTTATTTAAATATAAATTAAATTATAAAATTTCTGCCTTTATTGCCAGTCAGTGCCCATTTTATATTTTTTCTTAAATTTTTTGCCGATTTATTTAAATATTTTTTATTACATAAAACAAAAAATAAATAATTAAAAATTAATTCTTTAATTTAATTTTTAGTTTATTTAACAAGATTTTTCCAAAAAAACACGAGAAGTGATGATAATTTTGAATTTTATATAATAACTGTGGTCATTTTAAGGACAAATCTATAATCAAGTTTTGATAATAAATATCCCTTGGGAATAAATTAAAGTGTGGTCAGTAGAAAAAATCAAAAAAGTATAAAAAACTGTTTTTATTTATTTTAAAAGTTTAAATAATCCAAGAAAAATTTTTTCTAAAAAATGAATAAAAATAAAAATAATTTTTTAAACCCCAAAGTAGTCATTATTCCACCTTCCTCCTCCTCAATTTCTTCATTAACATCTTCATATTCTTCAGAGAAAAAACCTTTAATTTCTCAAAGAAATGCCCAACTTCGTGCCAAATTTTTTGGTTTAATACCTAATAATGAGGAAATAATTTATGCAGACGAGGATGATTTATTAATTTTTTCTAATGGGACAAATAATTTAGGAAGAAGAGAAAAACATCCAAATAGGTAGACCAAAATAATCTTTGAAAAATTTTTAACAATTGACTGACAAAAATGCTTTCTAGATGAAAAATTTTAGAGAAAAACACAGGCCCTTAATAAATTAGAAATATCTTGAAAATCTCAAGATGAGGAGATTTTATCTATGGTAGATAAATTTTTTTCTCTAAATTTATTCATTCAAAGGTCCACTCAAATAAATATACCCTCACATCCACCTTCAACTCCTTCACAACAAAAACACCAAAATAATTCTTCATTGAATCATAGACATTCTCCGTTATTTAAAAAGAAAGGAAAATGGAAACAATTTAACAATAGTTTAGTATTGGATTGCCAAAAATGTAGCAATTATTGGAATAGAGCTAAAGCAGTGGTGCATGATTGTTTTTCCGGGGCAGTTACTTCTGCTAGTCAGGTAAAAGAAAATAATACTTTTTTGGAAATATTCAAAGAATATAAATTGCAAAATTAGAAATTTAAAAGAAACAAAGATTAAAGAATAAGTGGGCATATAGGTTAAAATAAAAATAGTAATAAATTTAATTTCTTAAATATCTAAGGAATTACCTATATATTTTTGTATATAAAATTTTTGGATACAATTTCACCCTAATAATTTATTTTTTTATTAACTTTAAATACATTATTTAAAATTTAATATTTAATCTTTATTCAGAATTTAAACAAATTTCGTCATCGTCGTCATAGGTGTTGGTCAACATCGGAAGGGACAATAACTAATAGCAGCGACGATGAAAGGGAGACAAAAGAACAAATTAAGGATACCAGTTATTGTGTCAAAAAGGATTGTGGTTTCCTTTATACAAGTTCCAGGAAGTGGGTGGATATTTGTGAAATTTTGGATATTTTTGAGAAAATTTTAAATTTATTTTAATTTTTAAAGTTATAGAAAATTATATTTTTGCAGCTCTCTCATAAAAAATTTCTAGACAAGATTAAGGCATATTTTAGTTATATTTTTGCCCTTTAAAATTCCAGAATTTAATTTAGGTATTTAATACTAGTGGAAAACACAAATTTATTAGGATAATTACCTCTTGCGGTCTAAAAGTTTATTTCAAAATACTAAAATATAAGAGAAAATATTAAACTTTCAATAGGCCTTCCATAATTTTTTAAATCACGTTGAAAATTTCTATCATTTTTGATTATTATTTAAAGAACCAATAAAGAGACAAGAATGGAGCATGGTCCAAGAGAATATCTCTCATTTAAAGATATTGGAATTGACTTTTGTGCACGTACAAGTTCTCACGGAATTCCTTTTGTTGGGTAAATTTTTGTGAAAAAATTTAAAGAAATATAATTTACATATAATTTAAAAAAGGACACATTCATTCTTTGGCCGTCCTTTTTGGGCAACAGTTACAGCAATTGCTTTTTGTTCATTTATTATTCAGACATATTACACACTTTCAGACTATTTGGAATTTAGAACGATAATAGAAATGCAATTAAAATTTGAACCAGGTAAATTTATAGATGAAAAATATTTTTGAATAAAATCAAATAAAATGACGTCAACTATAAAAATATTTATCCATCATATCCGATTTAATACATTGTTATATTTGCTTATCTACTTAGGCAAGGAAAAAAGAATTCCTACAAGAATAACTTTACCATTTAAATTAATGTGATTCTAAAAATTTATTGTGTATGAGAAGTTACCCTAAACCCGTTAACCGAAACACATTCTTTCTTGGCACTCGTACTATGCTGAAAAAATATTTTTTAAAGAGACCTTTCTAACCTTAACCCCTTAGTTAATTTTTTTCAAAATTTTTAGCGCCATTTCCTGCTGCCACCATGTATGTAATCTAATATAAAATTAAAAATTTAAAAAATATCTAAATATTAATTTCCTTTAAAATTAAGTTGCAATTTAAATGCATTTAAACTTTCTGAAGTTCGGAAATATGAAGAGATAGAACAAGGGGTTGATAATTAAATTAAATTTAAATTAATTTTATTTTCAGATTCAACTTTGGGAAAGGGCTATATCTACTTTGGATCGTTTCAAACAAACAGAATCAAATCCAGAAACTAACAATAATAATCGCTTGAAAAGGCAACAAGCTGTTTATAGGCCTATTTTGGCTAGGCAAAAAAATATTGAGAATATTTATATTTTAAAAGAATTTTTTAGATGTGTTTGTACACATTATGATGATCAATGTGTTCCACAACAATATTTTCCTGATGAACATAATGTAAATATTTTTTATTTTTGAAATTAAAGAGAATTGTTTAATTTAAAAATAAAATCCATTAAACTTACAATTAGTGGAAGATTACATTAGGGAAAGGCTAATAAGGAGTTTTAGGTCATAGGATTTAGCTTCCTGTATTTAAATTATAATTCTAAATTCAATGGAATCCATAAAATAGATTTTCCAAATTATACATATATTTTCTTATTTTAAAGAAAAATTCTTCTGTTTGTCTTTGCTATGAAGATCAACAAACGGGGGATATATGGCCCTGTTATGCTCATTTTGTTTGGAAACAAAAAGTCCGTCTTAAATATTTTTCTAAAAACAATTTATTATTAATTTAATTAGCATTGTTCTTTTTGTTCTCATTCAAATACTTGTGACGATCCAGACCTTCCAAATAATAAAACTAATATTAAATTAACTTCACCATCAATTCCCTGTCTTTGCCAGCCAATCTCTCATTATTGTATTAAAGATAGCAGAAAATTAGGGCAGGATTTTAAATGGTTTTTTGAATATTAAAAAAGAAATATAAAATTATAAAAATAGGTGGAATCCACACAATTATACAATATATCCATTTACAACACGCCCACCACCTTCAGAATTGGAAGAAGCTTTTGGACTTGAAGTAAATTAATTAATTAGTCTAATCTTTTCAATAAACTAATTTCGTTAGATGGTGTAAATAGAAATATGGGATATATTAAAATAATGAGATAAGCTTGAAATTAGAAGATGAGAAAAAACAAATGGGGGTGATTTACTAAAAAATTAGTTATAACCTCTTGAATTTCCCTCATTTCCTTCTGGTATTATTCTAAAATCAACATTTAAATTTATTTCTTTTAAAGGATTTAAAAGATCGAGGCGCCATCACTACTCGAACAAAAGAAAATTTAATTTTTCTTGGTAATCTACAAATAAATTTTAAAAAAATCTAAATTCTCCAGTCGCTGGAATGTCTCGACAAATAAGGCAAAGTTTAAGTTATACTTTACATGAATTTGTACTTCGATGCTCTTTTAACAGTAAAGATTGTGATTTAAATAGGTAAATAAACAAATATATTTTTTGAAAAATTATTTTTAAGGGATTTTCAAATCCAAATAGATCCAGAGTATGGAAATTGGTGAAATTAAGAATTTTTTAATAAAAATTTTAATTATTTTTTAATAAAAGTTGGACTTTTAATTTTAATGATTCTGTTGAGGTTAATGATCTTTAAATATTTTTTGATTATTTAAAATATTTCTCTCATCATTCTCTTTGTTTTTAGTTAAAAAATTCCCGTGCAGGTCCTATGTATGGACTTAGGCTTTTACTTAATGTAAATCAAAGTGATTATATGCCTACAACTGAGGCTGCTGGAGTAAATATTTAAAATAAAAATTTTAAAAATTATTTTATTAGGTTAGAATTGTTGTACACGAACAAGACCAAGAACCTTTTCCCGATACTTTCGGTAATTTTAAAGAAATATTAGAAATATTCATTATTATTTCTAAAAAGGTTACTCAGCCCCAACCGGTTTTGTCTCCTCGTTTGGATTAAAAACAAAAATTCTCCATCGTTTGGATGCTCCATATGGAAAATGTTCTGACACTTTTCGACCTGCTGGATATATTTATGCTGAACATTATTCTCCTGAAGTAATTTTTCCATATTTAATTGCCAAAATGAACCCATGATTTTATAATTTTTAAATGTCTTCTATAAATTCTCGAGGATTAATTTTTTAATTTCAGGGCTGCTACCGCAACTGTTTGTTTTATATATTTTTCATAAAAATCTGTCTCGTTTACTTTAAATATTAAACAGGCTTTCAGCATATAATTTTGGAACGTTGTGGGTGTGGAGATCCTCGTAATTATTTTTTAAGGAAAATTAATTTAAAAAATATTTTCATGTTTCCCACTACCCAACGAAAGCGAAGACCGTCCTTGTGATGCCCGCAACCCGAAAGAACGTGCTTGTTTGTCTAATCAAACGGCTGTCTTGGGAGGCTTCCATCATTTAACACATGACTGTCATTGTGTACAGCCTTGCACTGGTGATTTAAATTAGAGTGTTAACCCTTGTACCTCGAAAGATTTTTGACATACTTATGTTCACCTTCTCCCCAACTCCAGTCCCGCAACCAACTTTAGAACCTCATACCCCAACATAACCACTATCGAACGTTCGGGCGGGGTACAACTCTAATTTACATACAAAAATAAATTTTAAATTAAATATTTTTGTAGAAAATACATTCGAAACTGCATATTCAGCAGCTTCTTGGCCAGCCCAAAATTTTAATATTGGACAAGATGATTGTGCTTTAGTTTTGGGGAATAATTTTACGATGGCTTCTTGCACTGAGTTTAGAAATTTAAAAAGAATATTTTTAAGATTTAATTCTTATTTTTCTATACAGATATTATCGAAAAAACACTGCTTATATAGAAATTTATTATGAGCAATTGAACTATGAGAAACTTAAAGAAACACCTGGATATACGGCTAGTTTTTTAAACCTTGTTCCCATGTTTTAATCTCAAAAGTACAGCAAATTTATCTAATTTCTTATGCAGAAACGGGTCGGAATTCGGATTTCCGATAGATTTAGAATTTCTGACCTGCCTCTATCCTGTAAAAATTTATTCTCATATTTTTTAGTTAGTCAATTTATTTTCTGATCTCGGAGGGAATATCGGTCTTTGGATTGGATTTTCATTAATTACTGTCCTCGAAATTGTCGAACTTGTATTTGAATGTTTTGCTTATGGGTGTAAACAATGTATTTATCGACCATTACAACGCAAAGCACAAATGAGACGTAATAGAAGGCAAAGTTTGAATGAAGAGAATTTAAATGGAGAAATTGAACAAAAGGAAGGGTTTAGGTTAGATTTAAAAGGATGTAAAGCAGGGCTAGACGAAATCTAAGAATAAAAAGAATAATAATCTCTCCCCTTTCGGATGTTACTCTCTGAACGATTTACTCCCGTTTTTACCAAACAGACAGATACATACCAAAAAATTCATTAGATAGTTTTAAATCCTACATACATGTGGCTCTCAAGAGTATGTTCAGAATTTCTGAGACCCAATTTTAAACTTTTATGTGAACATTTATGTAATTCCATCAAATATTTAGATATGCTGGAACCAAAATATCTCGTCACATTTCTCTACTTGAACCTGGATATTTAAATGAAGGGCCCGCTCAAGGAGGTCACGGTCACCAATATCAACGGCGTTGGGCTGGAACAATGAGGAATTGGAAAAGACCAACAACACAATATCCTAAGAATATTCCTTCATTTTTTGAACAAAAATTTGGGCAGGTTCAAAAAGAAAATAAAAATGAAAATGGATCATCCGTTCATGACACATACATTTATACGGTAAGTTTTTAAATTCTTCCCTTCTCAAAAATTCATTCAAAAATAACAAAACTTTTAAAATTAAAGTTTTTCATAAATATATTTTAGTATTCGTTTGAGAATCCTTTAGAAGAGAAAAAAGGAGGTTCTTCTCCCAGCAAAACAACAACACATTTTCCTGCTTTATTATAAATATTTGAGCAAAGAAAATTGAAATTAATTTAATTTTTATAAAATTTTAGAGTCATTATAAATTTTGTGTAAAACCTTGTGTCCACCCAACCCCCTATTTTTAATCTACAAAAAATTTTTTTTCACAAAAAATATATTTTAAATTTATTTTTCTTCTTTTATTTTGTAATTAATTTACATAAATATTCACAAATGTTTATTTGACTAGTCATCATTTTCTATGATCTCATTTACATAAACACATTTGTCCATTAAACTGACATTTTCTTCCCCTTTTGATCCTTCACAAATGTTTATAAAATGGTTAAATATATTGTCTAAATTTTTAGTTTAATCTTAAACCTAAATCTACACAAATTATTGGTCACAATTATTTTTGTGTTTTAAAAAATATTTATTTTTATTTCTCACAATTTTCGTCTCCTAATAAATATTAAAAATTTATATTTTTTAAGAATTTTTATTAAAGTTTTTTTTTCAAAAATAAATTTCTTTTTTGATGGAGGATACAGCTACAGAAAAATCATTTGATGGGTGCGATGAGCCGTGTAACTCTGTCTGTTCTTCTCTTTATCAAGAAATGAGCGATAAATATTATGCTCTTGAAGTATTGAAAAAAGAATATTTTTTTTTTAAATTTTAAATTTAATTTTTGTTTAGTCGGTGGTGGCTAGTCTTTCTAAAAAAATTAATGATCTCGATCTTCACAAGAAAATTGAAGATCTTCAGAATCAACTAAATACCACTACTCTAAATCAAAATTTAAGTATTAGCGATTGCAATAATAAAGTTTTTGATGTTATTGCAAAAATTGAAGGAATTAATGTAAAAATAAAGGAATTTTTATTAATTGAAAAATTATTTAGGAAATAAAACGTGAAATTGATGGAAAGATTACAAAGTGGAGTGAGATTATGGCTAAGAATATTCCGACACTTCCTTCAACTGTAACTTTTTGTTTTTAATTTTGGGAATTTTTAAAAACATTTTTTTATCTTAGAATTGTTGCAAATTAATTTTAAAGTTCTTTAAACATTATCAACATGTCCAAATTTTTTCCTTTCTTCCAAAATTACTTTCGATCTTGCTTTGGCATCCCTTTAATCATAAAAAGGCTGAAAAATAAAATTTTCTGATTCATCTTTTAATTATTTTTTGTCAAATTTCATTCGTTTATCTGTCCTTCTCCAACTTACAATTCCTTCTCCAAAATTTAATTTAATTTTTTTTTCAAATTAATTTTTAGATCTACAAACATTGCGAAAATAAATTAGACAAAATTTCTGACACCCAAAGTTGTTGTGATCAGAATTGTAAGAATTCCAACGGTTTGTGTAACAACGGCAATGGAGTCGTTAAAATTCGACCGGGAGGGAATTCTGCCGTTTATCGAAGTTCTACACAAATTGACAGTTTTGGGAAATTTTTGAATTTTTTAAAAATAAAATTAATTTTAAGAAGAAAATCGTTCTGTGATGGTTTTCGCTGAAAACAAAAATATGGGTGCTAATATTCCAGCTGACATTCCAGATAATGTTTATGTTACTTTTTATTGTGAAATGACCGTTTTAATTGATGAAGATGATGGAAATAGGTAGGAGATTTTTTGAAGGAAGAGGGGGGTTTTTTAAGTTAAGGATGGTCTTGTTAGAATATGTAGATAAATTTAGTATAAGGCTATGTTTAAATAATTATTTGAATTTTTGGATGAATGAATTTTTGGTAAAAATTTTCTTATTAGTTGTGATGTTCAAGTTGGACTTTTGAAGGACGAGAATACCTATTATCGTATAGGCAAGGACGGAAAGTACCACACATCTGACAGAAACAACAACACTATTTTTAGCGATCCAATTGATGGAAATTTTGTCTTAGGTATTGGACAGACTTTTGCACCTCGAAATATGCCGTCTGCTAAAATGCAACTCTTCTTCACTAAGGATCAGACGTGGGCGAAACGTTTCGTTTCGTTTCGTTGTTTCGTATGTTTCGTGGGTTTTTTTGAGTATCGTTTCGTTTCGTCACGAAACACTTTTTAATTTGTTTCGTTTCGTTTCGTTACGAAACACCTGTGATTTTTCAACGAAACGAAACAATTTTTTAAGCCTAAACTAAGGCCAAAATCTATAAATTTTACCATTTTTTATTGAAAATTTGAAAAATTTTCGCCTGCGGCGCTGAAAAAAGAAAAATTTCGGCTTCTTGGCCCTCCTAAATTGTCAAAATTTTCGCCTGCGGCGCTAAAAAAAGAAAAATTTCGGCTTCTTGGCCTTCCTAAATTGTCAAAATTTTCGCCTGCGGCGCTGGAAAAAGAAAAATTTCGGCTTATTGGCCTTCCCAAATTGTCAAAATTTTCGCCTGCGGCGCTGAAAAAGGAAGATATCAATTACTTATATACTTTATATTACATATATCGTCCGATATCAATGACTTATATACTACAAATCCATTTATACTCCACTCCCTAATCCACATATACATATTGCTTAATCGACGACAAATGCTATTACCGGACTCGTATCATAATATAAAAATTGCGGATTTAAAATTTTTCGTCTGCGGCGCTTAAAATAAAATTTTACTTGAAAAGAAATTCAATTTTTTGAAAAAAAGCGTCGCCAAAAATTCGGCTCTGAAAATGATTGACCCCCCTCCCCAAAAATTTTCCTTGCTACGGGCCTGGCTTATGGGACACAATTGTTGTAAATAAACCAAAAACTAAATCATTTATAAGTCATAGGCGACTGATAAAGTATTTGAGGTCGAATAATTGCAAAATAAATGCAGTTTTGAAAATTTTTTGAATATTAAAAGGTTTCGTTTTGTTTCGTTTCGTTTCGTAAGATTTTGGTTGTTTCGTTTTGTTTCGTTAACGAAACGATTTTTAAAAAAATTTGTTTCGTTTCGTTTCGTCAGAAAAAAATTTTGAGTTTCGCCCAGGTCTGCTAAGGATGGAACAAAAATTCGTAAGAAAATTATTTCTGAAATTGATTTGGGAGGGAATTTAAAGATTTTCTTTTTAAAGGCAAGATTTTTCTTGTGGATGAGGAAGATATGCTTCCACATGTTATTATGAAAAGTGTCAATGTTCTGGTTAATTTTGGGAATGATCCGGCCAAGCCTTTTGTTTATGACATCAATAATCACGAGGCTGCTTATTGAAGTTAATTAAACAGAAAGAACTTGAATGAGAGAGAATTGAGAATTTAAATGCTTTGAATTTCTTAAGTAACATTTACTGAATAACAGGTAGAGAAATTGGGAAATGATTTTTGGAATTTTTAAATATTTTTTAGAAACCGACTTCAATATTAAATTTTTGTAGATTGGGAGAGGGTATTATTCTTTCGATTTTAATTTTCTAAATCAAATTTAAAATCATTTACCAAAATTTCTACTTTAAAAATATTCTTGGTTTTTATATTAACATTTTTATAAAAAATTTTCTTAAATTCACTGATTTTCTGATAAATTGAATAAATAATTTGACAATATTTTGTTGTTGATAATAATTTTATTAATCGAAACAAAGTTTTTATCCTCAATTTTATTGGGGCTAGGAGATTTGGTTGTCACAAAAGACTAACCAACTGTATCGCATCATCGAGCTCTCAAAAAATCAAAGGAGAACGGGGGATTTTAAACTTAAATAGAGAATTTGAAATTTTAGAGCTCAAAAAGCCTAAAATTTTAGAGACCAAATTTCCGCTGGGCCTAATTTTCCATAAAGTTAGAGCCCACTTTTCCGAAAATCTTGGAGCCCAATTTTTCCCGCGACTCCTATCTCGAAATGTACACAAAATCAGACGGGTTCTACGAATCATGAAAAATAAAATTTTATATTTTATTTTGTAAAATTAAATAAAAAATTTATTCTATTACAATAAATATGTAGATCAGGGTGGCCCTTTTACCATATTTATAGAGGATTTTCCCTATTTTTGACCTTTTCGCCCTATTTTTTCCCTATTTTCTCTTTGCCATATTTTTGCCCTATTTTTACCATCCTGTAAGCGGCGCAAAAAATAGAATAAATCTGGCTTAAGGATCTCCAAAATTCTAAAAATTTTCGCCTGCGGCGCAAAAATGGAAGAAATCTGGTTTCTTGGGCTCCCAAAATCCTCAAAATTTTCGCCTGCGGCGCTAAAAATTGGAGAAATTTGGCTTCTTGGCCCTCCAAAATTCTCAAAAAATTTAAAATTTTAAATATGTTTAAGCTTAAAAAGCTATGCCCTAATTTTTGCCCTATTTTTGAGTGGATGCGCCCTATTTCAGTGTTTTAGAAGGGGCCACCCTGATGTAGATAATTTGAATATTTCGAGGTATGTTTAGGTATTGTTTATTATTACAAAATTAATATTTAAATAATCTTTAGAATTATTGTATTTTTAAATGTTTCTAAACCCCATATTTTACATTAAACTTCTCCCATCTTTTTATTTTTAATTTATGAATTAATATGAATGTCACTTTTTTTATAAATACAATACTTTCCATCTCCTCCATTATCATCCTCCATGTCAAGAACTTTTGGATTTTTACCTTGATCATTTCCTTCAAATGTTTTGCAAGGGAATACTTGATTTGCGTTTGGTCCAAGAATATGAATATTTTTGAGGGTAGCTACATCTCCATAATTTTTATTTACCCCAACAACATATTGTCCAGCTTGGAGGTTTTCTATAGTTAATCCATTCACATTTATTTTACGGTTACGATACTGTGGGTGACAATTACCGCAAGTACGTATTCCTTGTCCACATGTATGAATCTAGAATTTTTTTAAATTTGACTTAATAGAAGGGATAATGAAATACAAACATAAAAATTGTTGACATTTAGTGTTCCAGCCCCGTCAAATTGTATGATTTTCCCTTTTCCATTTTTCGCACCTCCACCACGAATCGTATATACTGCATTTGGATTACTCCCTTAAAATTTTATTTTTAAACATTTTTTTTCGGGATGTGAACTATACAAATCTGCTAATATTAAATTTCTCTTATAAATTATGTTTAGCAGTTCAATAAACCCCCTCCTTTATTTTAAACAATTTCTAACCAAGAAGGGTAATAGAATCATCAGCAACATTTTCATTCCAACAATCTTCTACAATACAACTTCCATTACAATGAATTCCATCAGCACCAGAGAAAATACATCTTTTTATCGTAGCTCCTTCTTGCAATTGAAATACCGGAAACATAAATTCTCCACTCCCCCACTTTCCATTTTTTAAATTTGGCACATAACGATTATATCCACAATCGAGGTATTTACTTACAGGGAAAGTCTGCTCTAACTAAATAAATAATTTATAAATAAATATACATATTTAAATCTATACATTAATTGTATTTTTAGCTTTAGGCCAATCAACACAAAAACAAACTTCAAAAAACATTGGAAAACCAAAAATAATCAACAAAATACTAATCATTTTTTATAATTTTTTATTTTTTTTATTTATTATTATTTACCCTAAAAATTTTTAAAAATTTATTTTATATTAGAAAAGGATTATAGAAATTTACTTGAAACAAAAAAATTAAAATATTTTTTTAATCAGAATACCCAGAACGTCCCACAGACTACGTAAAACCTTATTAATTGCCCTGCCTCAAATAATTACCCTGCTTCTATTAATTACCCCCCTTCCCAACAAATATCCTATAACACGTTCAAATTTTAAACCTCGTATAATTACACTCCCTCGATTAATTACTCCCCCAGCGGAAGGTCGAAACAATAATTACCCTGGGTAGTTATTAAAGGATATACGGTAAGCCTCAATAAAAAAACTTTCAATTAATAAGATATACATAGAAATTAATCAACTTTAGCCCCATCAAATTATTTAAAATATCTTATATGTATTTTTTGATTAAAATTTCATAAGACAAAGTTTCGAATTTAGAAATTGGTGGGATTATTTAGTTTATTTCACTGAACAATTAAAATTTAATGAGAAAGACAAAAAAGAATATTTTAAAATAATTTTTTTAAATATTTTGTAGCATTTTTATATAAATATTTTTAATTAAAGCTAAACAAAAAATTATTTCCCTTTTCGTATATTTTAGAAGAAAATTCTTTTTTTTGTTAAATTTTAATTGAAATTTGTTTGTTCAATCATTTTAAATTTTCCACATTTAATAAAAGCTAGACAGGAAATTTAAAAAATTTATAAAATTTTATAAAAAATTTATTCTGTTAAAACTAAATAAAGAATATAATTTATTAAATAATTTATTTTACTCGATCTCTATTTAAAAATATTTTTAATTAACTTTAATTAAAGGGATTTATTTCTATTTAATGTTTTTGACTTTTTCTATTTTCGAAGATTTTTATTCTTAAAAAAAATTTAAGAAGAAACTTCAATTTAATTTTTTATGTAAATAAGGAGTATTCTTTGATACTGTATAAGAGGTGCCAAGTGAAATTTTCCTTATGTATTTTCCTCAAAAATCTAATTATATTAACCGCAAAATTATCCAGGAGGGAGGCAGTAAATTTAAAATATTTAATAAAATTTTAAATAAAAAATTTTAAACTAAAATATATTGGGAGTTTAAAGAAAACCTTGTTATATATTTGGGATTTGAAGAAAATCTTGTTTATAATAATTCCTGGCTTGTTTTATTTTTTCAGTTTTTTCACATTGTCATAGTTGTAAACAACAAAAATAATTTAAATAAAAAATTTAAACCAAAAATAAATACAGTTTTTCAATTAAACATATAAAAATGTTGGGGAACAGAATTCTTCATGATAATAGAGGATTGTTAGTTTTAAGGATAAATTATATACACAACATCCGAAAAAGTTCGTCGAGATGAATCGAATAAAACAAAAATCAGTCTAATTCGATGATTTTTAAACAAAATTATAAATTTTTAATCCAAAAATTTTTTTTAATTTTGTTTTCAAAAAAATTATAAAAATCAAAAAATTTTTGTTTTTTAATTTTTGGGGGTCTGCAATTGTTTACTATATTTTTTCGTTGAAAAGAAATATGTAATTCGATATTCCTCTTCAGTAATCTTTGGGGAATCGAATGGTATACAATGTATCAACGAGTTTCGAACGGTTACCACATGATAAAATAAAGCCGAAAGGATAAAAAAATTTGTGGGGGATAACTGGATATCACAAATCAATTAATCTTATAAATATCACTCTTCATCATCATCGGTGTCAGAAAGGTCAGAAAGATTGCCGAGCTATAAATTAATAAATTTTAATTAAGTTTTCAAAATTAAAAAAAATACTCACAAGCGTTAAATCTAGTCCTCTAAAATCTAAAAATATATTTTTTAGTTATTTAATTTATTTTAAAAGGAGTTACTAATTATTTATCTTTTTAATCTAGATTATAATTTGAAATAAAATACCTGCTAATGAGTCGATAGACGAATCAGACTCATATCCTCCATCGTTGTCTTCATCATTTTCAGCAGGAGGTTCTACATCAAATTCTTCTCCCTCGCTTTCACTTTCACTATCACTTTCGTCATCAGAACCAAAATAACTACTACACTCATCATCGCTGTCATCACAATAAACATTTTTGGTAATAAACGCCAAAAATAATAAAAATAAAAGGATTTGAACAGACTTAATGAATTTAGTCATTTTTGGAATTTTTTTTGAATTTTCTATTGTAAAAATGGAATTTACAAAATATTTGGTTAAATTTATAGAAATAAACACTAGTTATACAGAATATGCATAAATTGTTTCGTTATTATCCGAAAATAGATTATTAGTTTTTTTTTAAAAAGAGGAACGTTAAGGATTGAAGCAAATTTATCCTAAAATTCTTCAAAACTTTATTTATTGTCTTTAAATAATTATTTCTAAGATTCTAAGTATTTTAAAAATAATGAGAAATAATTTAAAATTTCTCTAAGTAATCCTTAAAAAATTTTATTCTTGGTAAGAATTATAATTAATGAATTAATTTTCTATTGTCTAAGAATTTATAAAACTCTTAAGATAAAGGGATCTATAAAAATCAATTTTAACCCAGCAAAATCTATTTTAAAAATTTTAAAAATTGATTTAATATAAATAAAAAAGGCTTTAAACGAAAAAAACTAAAAAAACTTAAAACTTTTAAAAAATTACAATTCTATTAAAATTGATATTTTTTGTTGAATTTTTCCTTAAAATAATAAAAAATCAAAGTTTGCTTACTTTTCCGATAATTTTTTCTTTATAAAGTCAAAATTTAAATTAAAACGAAAAAGGAGAGATTTTGAGAAAAATTGGCTGATTAAAAGTTAATTATGTAATTTAGTGAAAATACACAACTTGTGCCATATAAAACTAGACGTTAATATTTTTCTGAAAAATTAGATTAGTTTCTCATAGAAGCTAGCCAAAGTTAAGTTAATAAATTATTAAACCCAACTTTGACAATTTAAGAATTAAATTTTAAACAAATTGAGCCAAAATAATAAATGAGCCAATGAGCCAAAATGATAAATGAGCTAAGAATGAAAAGAGGGAATAAAAAGTGCGTAGTCTCTCGGACAGAAGAGAGACCTTCAAATTAGTGATGGTGGTTCGTTGGATCTACAGGTATCTAAAACCGTAACCTAAGCATTAAATTGTGAAAATAATTCATTGACAGAGAGAGTCTAGAGGTATTTATTTTAAAGAATTTTAAAAAATTTTAAATTTTTATAAATAAATTAATTTTCACTTTAAAAAAGTTTCTAACATTATTAAATGAAACATTTCAGAAACAGTGAAGACCTTCCAAATCTAAACGATATCCATTTTAATCGTCCAAACCCTACTAAATCCCCGATATACTTCTAATCCAAATCTGCTTTGAAGGAATAAAGAGTATATGTTCATTATTGTATATGTATGTTTCATTATTAAACTAGATAAAAGTTCCGGCTGAGTAGAATAAAAGCTCCGTCTTGCAGGAGATAATAGTTCCGGCTCCAGAACGATTTGGTTGAAATCGAAAACTCTACAATAAATCAGCACCAAACCAAGAAATCAGCCCAGTATTTATTCTTTATCTAAATATTCATTCACTTCCTTCATAGAATCTAATTTTGTGGAGAGAATTTGTATAGAAATTTTTGAAAGGATAACTCCTAAATCGCATGATGTACTCCAACTACGAAAACCAGATTTCATTCTTTTTTTAGTGCCGTAAGCTATGCTTATTTAGGCTTATTTAAAAATAACTTAAATAAGAAATTTTAACTAAAAATATATACAGTTTTATAATTAAACACAAAAATATGTTGGGGAACAGAATTCACAGAATTCTACATGATAATCGAGGATTGATAGTTTTAAGGATAAATTATATATCATTCGATAGAGCTCGTTGAGATGAATTGAATAAAACTAAAAGCAGTCTGATTCGATAATTTTGAACAGAATTATAAATTTTTAATCCAAAAATGAACTTACTCCTCTTATAGTTTTTTTAATTCTGTAATTTTTCAGGTTTGCTTTTGGCTAACAAAAAATAATAAAATAAATCATACTCCGTTTGTCGGGAAGAATCGAATGATATATGAATGCGGTTACCATATAATAAATAAAGGTGAAATAATTTTTTATCTCCGAAGGTGGAGATAAAAATGGAGGAAACGAATAACCAGATACTACTGGTTTTCTTATAGATACCACTCACTCATCATCATCATCATTACCATCATAATCATCATCATCATCGTCGGTGTCAGTAGGATAATGGTCCTATAAATGATTGAATTCCAATTAAAAATTTTAGTCAATTTAATTAAATAATACTCACAGGCAAATTATCAACATTAATACCTGAAAATAAATTTTTTAATTAAATTTATTTTAATTAAATTTATTTTAAGTACTTAATCTAAATTAAAATTAAATTACTATATTGAATTTTTAATTGTTAAAATACCATCTAATGAGTCGTCAGACCAATATCCTCCATTGTCTTCAGCAGGAGGTTCTACATCAGATTCTTCTGTATCACTCCCAGTATCAGTATCATTTTCATCATCAGAACCAAAATAACTACTACACTCATCGTCACTATCATCACAATAAACATTTTTGGTAATAAACACCAAAAATAATAAAAATAAAAGGATTTGAACAGATTTAATGAATTTAGTCATTTTTGGATTTTTTTTGAATTTTCTATTGTAAAAATAAGATTTACAAAAATAAATAAACACAAATTTATTAAATAAATACTAAATAATTTTGTAGAATTAGAAACTTTAAAAATGCCAATTCCAATTGGAATTGGCATTTTTAAAGTTTGCCAATCCGTTTATTCGATATATCCCCAACTGAGAAACCAATGGAGCTAATCTCTGTTAATCCCAAAATCCCCAGCTCTCCATTGCACCCCTACAATTAAAAGAACGATAAATTGTCCAACATAATTCTAGTGTTACACACATAAAAATTTTTAATTATGAATCGGAATGTAGTAATTGGAAATAGACACCGAAGAACCGCTGAAACCTAAATTAAAGGCAATAATCTGCAGTTATTGAGGTGGTGCCGATCTATTAGAGACTGCCGTTCAACTGGAGGCCACCGCTCAATTAGAGAAAATACTATATTCTTATATTAAAGTGGCCTGTCAGGATCAGAGCGGTTTCGAACTTTCGATGTTTTTTCGAAACAACTCTGGTCAGAATGAATAGTAATAAGTTTTCATAAGGTTATTAAAACTTTATTTATTTATTTTAATTAATTATTTTCTAAAATTTTAAATATTAAAAAAAATGATAATTAATTTAAAAATCTTTAATGAATAAAATTGTCTATTGCTTAATCGTCTATCAATTAAAATTATCCATTGTTTAAAAATTTTAAAAAATCAAAATCGATCTCAACGACAAAAAAATTTTTTAAATTTTAATAAAATCGATTAAAAGATATAAAAAAGTTTATTAAAATTGTTAATTTTTATTTTTTAAATTTTTGTTAAAGTTATCAAAAATCAAAGTTAGTTATGTTATTTCTCTATTATTTTTTCTTAAAAATTGTGTAATTTATGGTGTAATTCATTTGAAATATTTGTACATAGAGTTGTAAATTTCAAATTAGAGCAAATAAAAGAAGATTTTCTGTTCGGTTTTTACATAAATTAATAGAATTAGAAGTTAATATTTTTGTGAAAAAATAAGGTTTCTAGTTTCTTATAGAAGAATTAATATGCTTTAAAGTAATAGAACATGAAAATAGTGTTTCCATTGAAAATAAAATATATAAAATTTCGAAGCTAAATATTGAGATTAAACAAAAAAAAATTGAATAGGCTAAAAAATTTTAAACTGGAAATGTTTTGGAACCGGTTCCAGAACTGGAACTAAAGAAATTCAAAAAGCAGTTCCAGTTAACTTTTAAAAGAAATATATTAATTATCCATCACTTTTGCATGAAATATTGTCCGTCTCCAGACAATCTTCACTACTTTAATAAAAATTTCGGTTCCGGATCCGGATATTCGAGTATTTCCCAGGACCCGCCAACTTTATTCATAAACAACGAATTTTTTCTCCCAACTCCTCTGATTCTTAAATCAGCGATATCCGTCCAAAACTTCTAATATCCTCCTTAATTCCACCAAATTCCATTCTATTTCCGATTTAGGTATTAAATCTGAAATTTAATTAAAACCTGTAAAAATGTACTATAAATACCCTTGGATTTATCCCCCTTCAACCAACTCAACAGAGGCTCCGTTCATCTACTCATCTGCTACTCGTCTACTCACGCTCATTCGTCGACCATGGCTACTCCGATTGCTGTGGATCCTGACTCTGTTGTTGTGGAGGCAAACGGCGGGACTTCACCAATCGTGCTGGAGAACGCAAGTCCTCATGTAAGTCCTCAAGTCCTCCTCCTCCATCCTTTACATCGTTTAATCTTTCTTTCTTTTTTTTAGAATCGCTACTGCTACAAGGTCAAGTCGACGAACAATGAGCACTACCGTGTCAGCTCTGTCTACGGATTCATTGAACCTCTGGGCTCTGTGAAGATCGACGTGAACCGATTGGTGAGGAGTTTTGGATTTTAAACTTTTAATAAATCGACTGTTAACCATTAACTTCTTTTATTTTTTCTAGCCTGGCCCGCCGAAAAGTGATGATCGTCTGGAGATTCTGTTCCAGCCTGTCGAAGCTAGTCAAACTGATCCGAAAGGACCATTCGCCAATGGAGCATCGGAGTTCAAGCTGGATGTGAAGCTGTGCGCGGAATGAAGAGGGCTTTCCTTGAGACGGAGACGATAATAAAAGCTGTGATATTCCCCTCGATAGAAAGTATATGTATGCCTCATAAATGTATATATGCCCCCTAAATGTCTTTGTATTAGACCCTCAATTCTTAGCATTCACTTTGTTGTATAATATATGGTTCTTTTTACTCACCCATTGTTGTTGTTTTTGTGTATATATTTTGGTTGAATAAAAATTGTAAATTTTGTGTTCATTGTTTTGATAGTGTTAAATGCAATATGTATTTCTGTTTGAGCATTGATCAAACTCGAACATTTTTAATTTTTGAGAGTGCAAGTCCCCATGTAAGGACAGAAACTTCTCTCTGTCTCTTAATCCTTTCACACCCCTAAGAAGGGCTTTCCTTGCGATGGAGATTATTGTTTTTTCTTCTACAAATACAACGTAAATCTCTTTTTTGCCTTTAAAAAATAAACTAGTAACAGGCTTGTTATGACACTTTGTTGTGCTGGTAAAGGACGTAAAGCTATTGGAGTTAATTGGTTTTGCTTTTGTAAACGTGTTTTTCTTTCAATTTCAATAGGATTTTAATATTTTTTCATCCCTTATTCTATTTAATTAATTCATTTGTATCGCTTTCTAATTAAAGCTCTTAAGTTAAATGTTAACACAACCAAAACCATCGCCTAATGAGAAAAAACTTTTTATCCATTCATTAATTTCTTCCCCAAAAATTAAAATAAATTTCTTTAAAAAATTTTCATTTTTAAGACAAAAATATAAATTTTTTATTAACAAATATGTAAAAAAACAAAAATCACATAGAAAATCGTGCAATAAAAAAGGAGCGATTTTGATACAAAAAAAGGCATTTTGGCAAATTATTAAACAAATATATATATTTTTATTTTTTGCCGTAGAAAAGAAAATTAGAAGAAATTAAATAATAAGGTGAGCATTTTTATTTAAAAATTTCTTTAAATTTTCAAAAAATTTTCTTAAAAAGTTTTGAAGAATTTTTAAGTAATTCAAACAAAATAGAACCTCTATTTAATGTGAAGATAGATTAATTAATTTAATTTATTTATTGGGCAATTATTAATAAGATATGAAAAATTTGCGAGAAAAATGGCAAAAATAAAGAAAGGTATTTTGTGGATAAAACACAATTGAAGAAAAGTTTTTGAATATTTACATAGAAAAATATTTTTATTTTCGAAAGAAATAAGGCTGGCATTAAGGCGCTAATAAAGTTTTTATTTTAAGTAGTCAATAAAAATATAGGTAACTAAAATTCCGTCAAAAAAATTTTATGAGTAGGGTTGTCGGCCCGAACCGAAGAAACGATGATTTTTCGGTTTGGTTTCGGATATCCGAAAATTTTCCAGGAACCGACAATCCTAGTTATAAATAAAAGGATGGCATTTCTTTTTTTATGACAGCCTCTATTATAATTTTTAAAAATTAATTTTTAAACAGTTTCATTTCCTTCTAAAATTGTTTCTCCAACAGAATCCTTATTTTGTTTTTCCTCTTCCTTTTCATTTAAAAGTTGTTTTTCTTCTTTATTTGTCTCAATATTTTCAATTTTAATAGCCTTATCATTTGAATTAAAATTTTTGTTTGAATTTCCATTTGTTAATTCTTTTTCTTCGTCGTCATAATAGACCTTTGAAAAAAATTATTAAAAAAATATATCGAGATCAAGATAGAGAATAAAAATCTTTTGAGAGTAAAGTGATAAATCTGCAAATTAAATTCAGTCACAGCCATAGTTTCAATGATTCTCAAAATAATTTCAAGTTATTTCGTGGACTTATGTTAGTGACGTATAGGTTGAAAATTCAGAAAATTACCACAAAATGGGAACAAGGGATCAAAAAAAGGCCCTAATAATTCTCTTTATTTTTTTAATTTTCTAACTTTCAAAACGGCAATCTCTCCAGTACTTATTGTTTGTGTTTCTGCATCTCTCATTTCACATTTTTGGTTCTGTGTTGTTGGAATTGGGAAACCTCCAAAAACATTTCTTATTGTTGGTGAACGGCATTGCCCCATAAGTGATTGAGCTGCCATTGGAGCAGAAACTTTTCTCAAAGGTGGAGGAATATACCCTCCTCCGCTGAATGGGGAATTTCCAAAAAGTGGACTTCCAAGTGGGCTTCCTCCATTAAGAAGTGAAGTAGGTTGAATGGATCCTCGACGGCGGATTCCTGGAGGGCGATAAATACCTGAATTAAATACTTAAATTTAGATATAGGTATTCTCTTCTAGTTGGACATCTAACAGGACTCAAACGAAATAATTGGAAGTGGAACACTTGCCATTCAAAGGGAGTTCCATGAGTGGTTGTGGCAATGGGCGACGTTGCTGCTGTCCTCCCACTAATTCTGAGCATCCATTTTGTTGTTGAGCAATATTTCCATTTCTATTTAATACAGGATTTAGTTGTTGCTGTTCCATATTATTATTAGTTGTTATTGCTTCTATACAAAGTTGTTCAAAAAACTGACGAAGCTGTGGGGGCAATTGGGAGTCCAACAAACGAAAAAGACCGTTAGCCAAACAATGACTTTCTTCACACGCAGAAAGTAGAATGTCTGGAGATACAGGACGATCAGCCCAACTTTAAATATTTAATGTGAAGATAGAAAAAAAGGAGAGGGCCTTGCATAGTTTCCCTAATGACCTCTTCCAAGATTTTCAAAATTTTTTTGGTTATTCCCTGTCTTTTTAAAAAATTTCGAGTAATCAAATTACTAACTTTGGTGTTTGTGAAAGTTTTCTAGGACTAATGTCGCTAAGCACCAATGATTGAGGGTTATAAACACGTTGAAGATTAACAAAAGAAATAGCTCTTAATTCTCCCATTGGCTTTCCAAATTTGTGGTGTTGAATGACAGAATGAGCAATCTACAATGATATTCAAATTAATTTTTATAGAACAAGAAAAGGTGATTTCTCATTTATATTACCTAACGAAATCAAATTCAGATTTGTCTGAAATGTGTTGAACCTAACTAATCATATACATTTGGGTCAATAACCAAGTAATGATAGAAACAATTGGAAGATACCCAACCAAAGAAAAAGGGTTAAAAATCCACTAACTTTTCTTTTTACAAAACCCAATCCTAGCAAGAAGCTTTCCCTTATTTAATATTTCAACACTCCCAAATGACCTGTGTATCAAAAACATTTTTAATTTCAATTCCATATCTTTGTCCAAGTAACCAGGCAGCTCTTCTAACATCATGTGTTACTTTGATAATTTTATCTGATTCTAATAATTCCCCAAGACTTCCTTTATCAGTCAATATTCCTTCACAATGTGCCAAATCAAAAACAATTAATTGTCCTTGTTGTTGTGATTTTTTATTTGTTAAAGGAGTTGAAACAATTACTAGGGCAACAAATTGTTCAGATGGGGTATGGTGAGAACCTCCACCAAGACAGACAAGTTTAAAATCAACAACAAGAAAATTTGAAGGGTCGTTGGGTGAAGCTGCTTCTAAGTCGGATTTTAGAGAAGCTACGGCATCCTTTAAATAGAAATGGGGGTTATTTACATATAAAATTCAAAAATTAATAATATTAGCAAGTCCTAAACAAAGCCTATAAATTTCAAATTTGCTCGTACTCGTACTTCGTACCACCCCTATTTTTGGCCTCGTACCTCGTACTTACTTGAGAAAAAAGCAAAAAATCTAAGATTTTTATGATTTTTTGGAGCCTAGAGTGTTTCTATTTGAAGGATTACTTCGACCAAAGAAATTGTTTGGAGATCTAATAAAATAAAAATTTACTTTCAGGCTCAAAATAAACCAAAAAATGATTGAAAATATTTGAAATTATCCCAGTGAACAACAAAAATATTAATTTAATTTTAAAATTATTTACTACCTGTGCTTTTTTCAAAGTATTAACAAATTGTACATAATGTAAATTATCTCTACATAGAGGAAACATAACTGGTGAAATAATATTTGTGATTGAATTATTTTTTGTTGTTGTAATAACTTCTGGACTTGCAACATTACTTCTTTCACTACAAGAGGAAGAAGAACCTGTTGTATTCCCTCCACCCCCAATATCCTCCGTAGATCTTCCACTTTCAGAGTCTTGTTGTTCTTCGGATGTTGGTATACGATTTTTAACTAATTGAACTTTATTTGAACGAATGAAGAAAAGATGGCGATTTAATTTTAGAAACATTAATAATTCCTTTAAAAAATAGAGAGAAATTTAAATATTTTAAAAATTTAATTAAGGGGAAAATTATTACCTTAGGATTTGTAGCAACTTCCTGTCGAATATGATGGGGGAAATGTTCACAGAATTTTTTGTAAAATAAATCAAGTGGATAAGGCTGTTCTTCGTTCTTTTAATTAATTTTTTTAAATTAAAATTTAAATATATTTTTACCTGTTCCAGAACAGATTTCATAAATTCGATTGCTGCCAGTTTTGCTTTGTGTCCAGCTAATGGGCGTCCTTCTTCATCAACAAATTCATCAGGACACGTTTTTGGTTCAGACATATTTGCCAATCTTACTCTATCACCTTCGACAACAAAATGGTCGATTTGTGAGGCCAGAAACTCGGCAAACTCTTTTAGGTGACGACCCGAAACTAAACGGATTTCTGGTGCTGCTTGGGAACGATGGCCTGTTTGAAAGGAATATATGATACGTAAATATTTGGTAATAATTGTTAGTAATTAATAATTAATTAATAATTAATTAATAATTATTTAATTAATAATTTTAATAATAATTAAAATGCCGTCTCCGACAGAGACTAATTCGGCAGGAACAATTAATTATTCTCCTAGTTGTATTTACAAATAACGTATCCTAAATTTGGCTTCATTGGGTGCAGTTTAGGATTTTAGAGTTTAGGACAAGAAAATGAATGTCTTAAACCGTCTCAATAAACTAAATATTAGATTATGTATATTTACAACTAGAAGAATATTTAATTGTTTAAAAATAAATTATTAGTATTGAAGAAATAATTAACCAAGCAATGATTTAATCTGCAATTCAGGCCCAAATTTTTCTAATTTTTTAACAAAAAATTGGACAGCCTCTGCTGCGTAGTCTCTAAAGAAACAAAAAATAATTTAATAAAAAAATAATTTTTTGCCTTTGTCG